CCGTGTATGTGAGTGCTTTCAGAGTATAACAGCTTTTCTCACTACATGTATCTCACTGAAATATTTCAGGCAAAAGCACTATCAATTTCTGATAAGGCTGCAAACATTTATACTGATGACATTCAGTGATTACCTGAAGGAGAATCGGTTACATTTAATGTTGATTCAGCTGAGCATCTTGACTAAGAAACGCAAAGCTCTTTGTTGAGGTTCAGGTCACTCTGCACATCTGTGCTCGTTTATCCTTTCCAAAGCAACAATTCATACTCTGCAGAGGTCTCCATAAATAACCTCAACAGCGCGGTTCAGAAACAGCCAAACCTATACGCTGATATGAGAAAAACCCTGCCATTTTCCACATCAAACATGGACAATTTCCAGAATATTTTAGATTTCCCTGATCCTTCCACCCATGTTCTAACAGTGTAACTGAACTCAGGAATTGAACCTCAGGACCCCAGCACTGGGTTTCCACTGCGTCGCAATGCTGCCCCACTTCCTTGACATTATCATAGTGATGATATTTTATCCCATGAGCTTATTTCCTTTATGGAACATTGCTGTGCTCTATAATATACGTATACTTCTAGAGAGGCATGGTCCATCCTTTATGAACATTGCACCAGCAGACTTGTCTTCGCGAGTTTGGATACTCATTATCTCACACAGGAACAACACAATTATCATCTAAGCACTCATCTTTGAACACTTACTAGCAGAGATAGTCTGGAGTCTTGAATGTTACATTGGGTTTAATGAGAGTTTTGTGAAGCCGTACTCCTAGCAAAAGCACACTAGAGAGACATATGCATAAGAAAACTATTTTTAATGTCGAGGGGTTCCGTATTTACACTTCATGAATACATACCAAGCGAGCTGTTAAAATCATTAAAAACGGAACACGCCGCCTTCTGCAAACGGCCAGATGGTTGGAGTTAGGGGTACGGTGCAGGCGGCAGCATAGTTGTATTATTAACATGCAATTAATTTACCATATCGGGTTAGCTATTGACATATTCACAGCCTCCTCCGAGTACATTATTAATACACCCCGGTGTAGTTTGCCGAAACAAACACCTTGACTCTCAATAACTTGTCGGCTTGAAAGCATCGCCCAAGCCCGCCACCACCGTCACCAGCGCTGCCAGTGAGGGCGGAATAATCAGCAGCGGGGCGCTGCGCTCTGGGTAAGGAAGCGGCTCACGCCGAGGTGCTGTAGTTCTCTAATTCCCCGCATCCATCACCGCTGAGCACCGGCTCACTGTGGCCCTCTCGGGAAGGGCTCCGAGCCCACCACTCCCTTTATTAATGAGGCAATATAGGAGCCAGTGACACTTCTCACCCGCCGCAGAAAGTGATTCATCCGCTTTTACCTCCCCCCAAAATAAGACTGTTTGTCACAGAGGCGTGCAATGCGAGAAGAGCGTAGCCCGTGAATTAACTGATGCTCAAGACGGCCATAAAACCAGTCCGGAGCCAGAGCGCGGCTGGAAACTGCTGGGGCTCTGTTCAAGAAAGAAAAGCAGTAGCCGAAGGATGAGGAAAAAAACAAAGCTTGAACTTGCTTTAGCTGCAGAAATCCAGTTTTGTTTTCCATTTCCCCCACATCTACCTTTATCACTGCGATTACATACGGAGATACAGTAGGTACGAGTACCATCATCGCTCTTTTCAAACAGTACCTGAAAGTGTAGTAGGAAATCTCGGTTTGCTTGAGATTTATAATGGCTCATCACCCACTGCGATTCCCGAGCCGCGTGGTGAAATTATCGGTATGAACTCCCTTAGCACACTCAGTCCTTAATCAGTGCAGTTCCTAATTGAGCATACTTAACACTTGTCTTGTAGGCCTCCTCTTTAACATAATGTATGATCTCGCATTTTTTAATCATAATTTGCCAAAAGCCTAGAAGGAGGTAAATATCTAGATGAATACATCATTTATGGAACTTGGGAAGTGAATTTCAATACTTGTGACACATTATGAACTTTCACTTAATCATTCATGGTGGACAATTAAATCACTAAATATATTGGGAAAAGGACCTGAATCACAATATACTTTTGTTTTTAGAATAGCACTATAACTTGAACTAAAATTTCCAAACCTCCTAACATTTATGCATGCGTTAATCTAATGAATTTTCTAATTGAACGATTTGTACAGTTGTAACAGCTGGTCCCCTAAAACGAATTCTCTATGTATTAAAAACGGTAAAATGGAGTGAAATGGAACATCGCTACCATCTGGTGGTAAGATACCGAACCACAAGTGAAACGAATATTTTTATTACCCTGAAACAGCCGCCATAATCAAACTTATTTTTCAAGGAGACGTTTAATATCCAATACAACAGCACAAAACGAGACATTTAATGTCGTCCTGTAGTTATTTAAGAATACACAGGTAGCAAAAATACTTACAACATTAACCTGTAAAGCACTTTGAGTGGAGTGTCAGAAAAGCGCTATACTGTATAAGTGTAAGGAATTATTATTATTATTATTATTATTATCAGTGACTCCAGAAAAGGTCACTGAATTGTGTTCACGTAAGTGGCCAGGATTAGTCGAAAATGCAGTACTTCTGTCGAGATTCTCACTTTCAGCAGTCACCTCCCAAGAAAATAACCTTTCTATAACACTTTTAAAACCGACTTTACCAGGACAACACCACGTAACAGCTGAGATTCATTGGACGCTACACTTCAAATGAATTATATTTTCAATAAGCCAGTTTACCAGCTATCATGCTTTAATATTTTAAGCGTACCTCCATATGCACATCTTGGTAGCCTGATTTATGAAGCTTTTGAAAAAATAAGAAACTGAGTTTTACTGTCAGGAGGACTGGGATTCAGTCAGAAAACAAAGAGGTTGTTTATCAAAGACAAACTCATTCTCTACCCTCCTGCACATGTCATGGATTGTAATCAATGTATGAAAAGGGAAAAATATGATCCAATTCTATCCCATGCATGACCATTTAAATCGTTAGTTTATTATTGAGGCTGAAGACTGAACAAGTCAGATAAGTGTAGAGAAAGAAGTCAGGCTTAGCAGAATTATAATGTACTTTCAGAGTCAACATTAATACAGTGTAAATCAGAGCAGTCTGGAGATTAGCTTATCTCTCTCACCGAAATGACCTCCAGTCTATAATACAGCTGGAACTGTGATACATACAGTACAGCAGAAATGCTTCTTATTTCTAAATCCCAGTTTAAGTTGAATTAGTTGAACTGCATTTTTCGAAATGTAATTAAGAACGATTAAGGATAAAAGTCTCCCGTACAGTAAAAGAAAAAAGTAAAAAACTACAATTACACTGCACAGAACTTTGTGTTTTGTCTCACTTTTTATTAAATAGAAGCTGTTTTAGATGTTATGGATGCATTTGTATGTACAGTAGATACCCTGGAGTGTTTTATGATTTGTCTCATAAAGAGGATTTAAAATGGTGGTTTGTACCTTTAGAAATACCTGCCTATATTACTGTATCATCACACGTTACTTATCTGCACACAGCTGAAGGTGCTGCACAGTCACAGGAGGAGGACACAATACCAGGGAACGAGGCCTGGACAGCCCAGAGACGGGGCCTTGTTGAGACACGGTTGTGGGAAGGTGATTTTGTGTGGTTTTCTGTGTGCACCCTCAAATAATCTCTACTGACACCCACTGCTCGACCACTTTATGGGGGACTATCTGCCCCAGAAGCCTAAAGCAGAGAAAGTGGGGTCGCTCATGCGATGTTAGGCGGCTCCGCCTGGGAGAGAAAGCTGAGGAGGCGCGACACCATGTGCGTCTCGGACATCGATTTCCCAAACCGCACCAAACAAACAGAAACTCGTTAAGAGCGTTTTAGCTGTGGCAAAACAAAAGAGGATTGGCTGCCAAGTGACAGGGCTGTCACCACAGGCGCGCAGCTCCAGACGGGGGGTAACGTTTCGAGAGGCCTGTCACAAGCAGGCCACTGTCTCAGGCAGCCCGAGCCCTTTAATACACAAAGCCTTCAGCACTTTTCCCCAGGGTTCCTGGCCCGGCATCTTTATACAGATTCCAGTCATGAAAAGAGCTGGTGGTAGTTAAATTAGAGACATTGAAAGAATTGCCCTGGAATATCTTGCAGACCTGAAGGAAAAAAAGAAAAGGCTAATCCACTCAAGTAGCTTGTCAAATTGTGACACATACTCAGCTAGGCCATACACGCACAATAGTTTCGACTAGACGGCTATTTCAGATGTCAGTAGCAGTCTTCAATGTAGACGCCATTTTCAAAAGACGTCTGTGAAAAGCTGTGTCAGAGTGCCGCTGTGATTCATCCTCTCGCGTATGTCCCAGGGAAAACCACTCACTGTCTCAGCTTCCTGGGCAACGAGTTAAAACTAACATGTCAACGTTAGCCACGTAACTGCAACCGATTGGTGCCTCGTCAAGTGACGAAGGAATTGTGGCTTGCTAGAGGGAAAACAAATCTCAAACTGTTTTTCAAATGTTTTAAATTCAAGGCTTAATGCTTAGCCAGATGAAAATTGCACTGAAGTGAATTTCCTCGCCCAGGACGGCTCCCGGTACTGTCGGTGTATCGGACAGAACAGATAGCATATTGTTAAACTGACGTTTTTCTAACCGCTTTATCGATCTCAGCGGGGAACGAGAACGAGAGCGAGGTGGAGTACAGCCTGGACACAGGGCAGAGACACGCACAAGCACAGACGCACTTGCAGGAGGACCAGTTCTCCCAGAAGACAACGAACCGACCGGCATGGCCTCGGACTGTGGGAGGAAACCACTGCAAACGCAGAGAAAACACGCACACTCCACACGGACAGCACCCCGGCTCCGGCGCTGACCCCCTCACCATCGTGCCAGCGTGCCCCTGTGCCACCATCTGAAGCAGCATCCTGTTCCAGCGCCACTAACGACAGCGGCCAGCCACGCTGCACTGCAGAGACCTGACCAGGATCCCGCTGGGGTGCTACAACAGGCATACTCACAGCTTTTCACCTTCTCTTGCTTTTGTGTCCAGAACAAGGTAGACTGTGCCGAAACTGCCCCTGCCCAGTTTCTCTTGTACGCTGTATCGCTTTGCTATCAGACTGGTTGACCCAGCAGCCATTGAGGCAGAAACGAAGGCAGTCTTTGCAGCCATCTCCTGGAACTTGGGCATCCCTTCTTGCACCAGGAAATGAGGCGAGGTTCTTTAGGCACTGTTGCCTGTCGACATAAAAACAGGAGAAATGGCCCCCTTTTTAAGGTTGATGTCTAGATCGCAGTTAAAGTAAGTTGGAATTGTGTATGAGCAAAAAGGAAAGTATTGTAGCATCTAGCAAACACCATCAAATACAACATGTTAGAGAAATAGGTGACTCAAAATAAGTTTGATTTTGTTCTGTGCTTGGAACGACCAATTTAAAAACCCCTTTAATAAGTAGTGTACTTGAATAAACAGTGTGCTATTTAAGTAACAGTGTGATAGTTGTTTTTATACAAGATAAAGGCATGAATTTCAATGTTAGGAAAAGAGGGGGAATTATAATTGATCAAAGTTCTTGTATGGCAAAATAAATCTTATAAAAACATATTTTACTCAGCTTACTAAAGAGAAGACATCTAAGCTTTAAATCACATATTTCTCTATGCCTAAAGATGTCTCAGCGAATGTAATGGCTATTTTTAATAAATTATACCATATGTGCAATGCTTGCTTTTTTTGTTGACACATGAAAATTTTACTCTGCATTTAAAATGTTGTACTATGTCATCTAAAGCAAATAGATCTGTTTTATTAGAAGCGTTTCCTAATATTTTAACTGGATTTTTGAATGAATGTGACTATTTCACTTTGTAGGACACAAAGACACACAGATTTGAGAACATGTTTTTTGGGGCACAAACAGTTGTAGTGTTTCTAACTGTCATCCGAAAGAGGACGCCTTTTTTTACAGTATAGTGTCCCCGTCACTATACTGGGGCATTAGGACCCACCCAGATTGCAGGGTGAGAGCCCCCTGCTGGCCCCACTCACACCTCTTCCAGCAGGCGATGTCTTTGTTCAGCTGTCAGGGGACCAGTTAACGCTCCATCCACGGAAATACCAATGACCCACAGCAAGCAGGTGTACTGTACTCACCAGCAGAGTGCACAGGGATTTCCAATCCGCAGCTGTCAGAGGGCTGAACAGGAAACAGGTTATTGTTCGGCCAGTGTTGCCGTGACTTCGGAAAGAATGTCAATCCTACTCATCCAGTTATTCAGCCTAGACTGGCTTCAGTGCTGGAGAGCCCCACGCAGTGATATCTGCAGGGTTTATCATCCACAATGAGCGCAGACCTGGAAACAGTGGTAACAGAAAGCCGGTTAGTGAACATGCCCAAGAGACCTTATACTGTATGCAATGAAGAAAAGAGCTTACGTTTCGCAGACGTTTGAAGCACTCACACTTTTCTCACATGTGACAGAATGTGTAGAAGACTGAACTTACATAAAGTAACACAACACTTAAAACATCCATAGGGAGCAATACAGAGAATCTCAACAGTAACACCACTCCTGTCTCTTCCAGCATCAAATCGCCATACAGCGAATTATTTAACTGTCTTCGCTACAGCTGCCACATGACTGTGTGCGGCATTAAATAAGCCATGTACTGTTTACCTTGTCTTTCAGAAGAAGCATACAAGCAGCCCTGACATGACTGTAGCCCTACTTACAGCCCACCGACACGAATCACAGCGCCGAGTTCACCACCAGGTGTTTACTCTTGTTTCTATGGAGACGGACGGGGAGTTCTGGGACCGCCTTGTCGGCGCTCCCGTTGTGACGTCACAGTCCCCTCCGCTCTCTCACAGCTGTCGGTTTTGATCTGACTGAAAACGATTGGGCGTTTTTTTTTTTAACAAACTGCATCGATCCATATCGTATGCCGAGTCTGTGCTTCTGCAAATGATCTTTCACGGGACGTTTGTACTTGAACCCGGAAGCAAAATGATCAGCTTCAGGAAATGGGGGGGGGGGGTCTTTCTGTTGTTCTTCCTGAAGTTAGTTCGGAGTTTATTTTTATTTTTTAGGAAGCCGAGCAGGGCTGAGCGTGCAGATTGTGGCGTGTGCCGGCGACAGTGAGTGTCGGGCTTCTCGACATGACATTGTTTCTGTTTTTTTTCTGTGACGGCGGTGCTTCAGTGAGCGGCTTGTGCTTGTGCATCCCGAGTTAAAACGCGCTGTGTCGCGTCTTGCCGTTCAGAACCGGAGGCATCGGCTCTCCCCGGTATTAAAGAGACTTGCGAGGCCAGTTCCCCAGTTGGACATCCGAGCCCACACCTGTAAGCGAGATATAATAAAGCTAACAACTTCTAACCCTATTAAATTAGACGGTGTTGCTGTTTTGTTCCCGGGAGGGGGGAGGGATAACGCCCAGTTTCGGGAGGCATGCACGGGACATTTCCTTTCCAGCACATGTTTCCCTCCTCCCGCACGAAAGGGATCGCAAAGGTTTCCCAGTGCCCAGCGCCGGGCGCCAGGGAGCACAGCATTCATCTTCAGCGACGCCTCCGTGTACAGGCGTAGGCCACGGGTTTATACAGACGTGCGGGAGTACATTGCACACTGCCTGTTGTTGTTTTTTGCACACTGCCTGTTGTCTCTGTCTTTCTTTCGCTACACAATTGTATTGTTGTTGTTGTTGTTGTTTTTTTCTCTTTGTACTACTTATGTCCGAGAGCTAGCTAAATAGCATTTCGTTCTACCATATACCATGTATATGAGTGTAATAGATAGATAGATACTTTATTGATCCCGTGAGGGAAATTGCAGACAATAATGACAATAAACTTGAAGCTTGAAACTTGAAACTTGAACTTGATGTCCAGCTCGGCTCCCCCTGGCAGCGTGGGTGCGGCGAGCCTCGATTCCACCTGCCCCTCCCACCCCCTGGGGCTGTGGCTCCGCCCCGCTGACTAACTGCCCCGGCCTCGCCGCTTCTCGTCCCATGAGTCGGGCGCAGAGCGGGGATCCGGGACAAGTGAAGACGAGTTGAACAGAGGCGCTGGGAGAGTTCTGATGCCAGACGCGCCAGTCGGCCCTGTTGATAGAAGCCCCGTGGGCAGGGGGCAGGGTTCTGTGCCCTTGTGCGGCGAGGAGACGGACCGGTTGAGCCCGTCGTCCGTGTTCCCCTCGGCTCTGCTCTCCTAACGATTGTCGTCCTGCTGCTCTCTCTTGCAGGAGTCCGGGGCTGTCACCATGGGAGTCCAAGGGCTTACAAGTTACATCGAGGGCAAGAGGGAGTTCTTCACGGACTTGAAGCTAAGAAACACGAGAATTGTTATCGACGGGAACGGCTTGTACTTCCGGCTTTATTTTACTTCGGGTCTGGACAAGCAGCGCGGCGGAGACTACGACAGCTTTGCAGAGCTCGCCCGGCGCTTTTTCGAAGCCCTGTCAGCCTGCAGTATAAGGCCCTTTGTCGTGCTTGACGGTGGCATTGACTACACGGACAAGAAGTTCGGGACCTTAAAGCAGCGCGCCCAGAGCCGAATCAGGGAGTCCCATGCCCTGTCCCGGGGGTTGCACGGCTCCGTGCTGCCGCTTCTGACCAAGGAGGTGTTCAAGCAGGTGCTCTCCAGACTGCAGGTGCCGTATGTCCAGTGTGTGGCAGAGGCAGACTGGGAGATAGCTTGCTTGGCCAACCAGTGGAGCTGCTCGGTATTGGCCAGCGACAGTGACTTCTGCATCTTCGACTTGAAGGACGGCTACTGTCCCTTCGCTGACTTCCAGTGGAATAACGTAAGGGTGTGCTCCGACACGGCGGAAAAATACATCCCTGCCCTGTGCTTCTCCGTGGACAAATTCTGCTCGCACTTTGGTCACATGAACAAGCAGCTCCTTCCCCTGCTTGCGGTCATCATGGGCAACGACTATGTCCACCTGCAAGATATGGAGGTGTTCTTCAGCCAGGCGAAGCTCCCCGTGGGGACCCTGCCTGGATCTGGGAAGACCCAGGCCCGAATTGACGGCCTCCTCCGCTGGCTCTCCAAGTTCGACGGCCCAGAAGAAGCCGTTGAAAAGGTGGTTGAGTACCTTGGCCACAAAGGCCACAGAGGCTCCTTCCGGGAGCTCGTGTCCTCTTCCATGAAGGAATACGAGCTGTCCACGAGCAACCTTGCGAAGTTCTTTACGGACGGCGTGCCGGTGTCCAACGTGCCGGAAGTAATAGCCTGCCTGCCGGACTGGATCCTGATGGCCTTGGGGAGAGGGAAGCTCTCCTCGCTGATCATCGACGTGCTGGTCCTGGAGAGGGTGCTGCTGCACGTCCAGGTGGAGAACTGCGCGCTGCCCAGCAGCAACCTGTGCTCCCTGCCCATCCGCCAGGTGCTGTATGGGCTGCTGCTCACCTGGAAAAGACACCTCTCGGGGGAGAGCGCCCGCGGCTGGAACAAGGTGTGCAAAGACAAGAGCAGCGCGTTGTCTGTGGAGGAGTTCGACAGGCAAGATTTAAACCTGAGAAGCACTTCAGTTCAAGCTGTTCTACCGAGATCCCCCGAGCAACTTCTGCTGCACAAGCTGGCGGAGGTAATCCCAACCTGCGGGGACAGGCCAGTGGGGAATGGCACATGGAAAACATGTTAGAAAATGTGACATTGATGTTAGAAAATGTGCTTAAGCAAAGCAAGCGTCAGCTGGCCACGGCAAGCCTATGGACTTGTGGACTGTTCAGAGAGGCATTTTTGAACCTTCGCTCATCTCACAGATGTGGATGTCGAAGAAACACAAAGCCTTCAGCCCAATAACAGTGTCTTATAACAGTGTCTTCTCTGGACAGAAAACAAGCGCTTAGAAAATTAAACACATGCCTTATAGATTTGTCAAAGCAAAGCTTTATTAGTAACGCTGGGCTTTTGTATGCATTTCAAGGATTGTTCCTCTCTTGTTTGTGGTCTTTATCACCCTCACCTGCTTGTGAGGCTGACAGGGGCAGCATGTGGCTTTTCTGCGCTGTAGCTTCATTTCTGTATGTGTCTTACTGCCTAGAATGGGTGATTGTTTTTGTTTGGAAGCAGCAGTAAATTTCTGTTCTGTCTTTGGGAAGGGAATGTGAAGTTTATCTGGCCCAAATCCTCATTCTGGAGTGAGCAGGTGCAGCTCAGAGCTAAGCGGGATGTAAAAATCAAGCAGATATTTGGTTTGCGTTGCGAAAGCATCAGTATATAGCTCAGGTCAAGGATATTTTAGGATATTTTAGTATCTCTTTGTTTTGCAGGTGCCCCTAGCAGTTCGTCTTCAGACCCTGCTGGAGACGCTGGGAGTGAAACCCTCTGTTCTGCAGGCCGTCCCCCCCCACCTCAGCCTGCCTGTGTCTGTCACCTGCTATTGGCTGACTCACTCAAAGCCCCGACCTGAGCAGCAGCACCTGCAGGCCCTGCTGCTGGGCCTGGTCTATGGAGAACTCTGCAGGTTAGGTAGGCCTGTTTCCTGAAAATGAAGTCCTGCCTGCTACACAGCAGGGGTTGTTGGTGGGGCTGGAGAATGACTGGGGATACCTGAAGGATAGCAAGCCAGCTGTTATCACAGGCATTGTAGTGAACAGTTCTGGGACAGTCTTTCTAAAAGTGTTATTATATATAATAGTTTTATAAGCCAGATACAGCAGTACCATTGGTTTGGGTATTCTTGGTGTATATACACCCTTTAGAAGAGCCAGCGTAGAGCAAGAATGGCAGTGTACTTACATAGCAGAGATTAAAAAGTCAGAAATGAGATATTACTACCGTATTAATGAAGGTACCAGCTTAGCTCTGTTAACTAAATATTGATGAATCACATTGTTTAAAGGAGTGAAGGTTTTTTTTACCTGTTTTTAACTTACCTTATTTTCTAGGTTGTCTGTTTTTGACATCTTAACATCTAGCAGCAACAGACCGAAACAATACCAGAAACATACCAAATACCACCAACAGCCTGTATTCTTGGCTTAACCTGTACTAATCATGGAATCTGTAAACACTTCAAAGTGACATCTTAGTTGTTATGAAGAGCATCAGAATGTTCAAAATAAAGTCGTGAAACCAGTCCTATTCCCTGGTTCAGACGTGTGCGATAACTAGCTGGTATTACTTTGGTATTGCCCTAGAGACGACTAGCAGGAAGTTGCTGTATGGATTGTGTGTGTAAGAATACTAACAGGAACCCTGCTGAATCTAGAACAGCATCCCTGTTGCGCCTGGAGTTACATCCGTGCTCCTCTGACCTTTATCCTAGCGTGGCTGGAGTCGGTGCTGGGACTGTAGGTTGTATCATGTCCCGCTCTTTACAAACTGCTGTTGAACTGCTGGCTGTTCCCTGTGTAGAGAACGTGAAACGATCTCTCTTTCCGCCCCCCCAGGCAGCGCCGCCTCCTGCCCAGGCGTCCGGGCGCTGCGTGAGAAGCTGCGCAGGCTGCGGGTGTGGAGGGGGGACAGGCAGGGCATGGACATGGACGCGGCCCATGTGTTCAGCCAGTGGCAGGCTGCCCTGCTGACCAGCCACTACCTGAACCAGCTGCTCTGCTGCCCCGTCCCGGAGCCAGACTGCTCAGGGTACGGTGTCGGGCCGCTGTAGCTAAAGAACAATATCAAAAACTCATCTTCACTTCTCTCCTTCACCGCAGTCATGACCGTGAACGGTGACACGTCTTCTAGCTTGCAGGAAGTATTCGGATTAGCTCGCAGGCACGTTTCCGTTCAGGCCTAGCCTTGTGTACGAGCGCGTCTGGCGTTAATCTTGAAACTGGGGATTTACATCAAGTCGTGTCTTGTTTAGTACCACTGTTTTTAAAACTGCCAGCATCTCCTTTTGACGAAAAAGGGGAGTGTTCTTTGAAAGTCATTAGTTAAGCAAACATTGTTTGAATTCAGATTAATGGTTTTAACTGGAAATTTGTGTTTTCAGAGAGTAGATATGTTTGTAGTAGTAAAGGAAGGTAAATACGCAGTAGAATTTCATTAGAATAAACAGCACTAATTAAAACGGACAGTGTAAAGCATAAAGGACCAAGAAGCGGCTATTTGACACGATCCCTTCATTGGTAGAAGGCTTTGGTCCTGTTGGGTCGCTTGCTTTCGAGGAAGGAAAAGATTACGTCTGCTTACCTTCTTTCCCCATTTTATGTAGCTCCCTACAGAGGAGAGGCTGTTGCTGGATTTAGCTGAAGCCCTTTGTTGTAGCAGAAATCCAAAATGAAAATCAAATGTCAATACGGAGGATACTGTATATCTTTCACATGCATTCATCGAAAAAAATTGTTAACGAAGCATTTCTGAAATGAGTCGAGAGATTTTTTTCTAAGGGGCCAAGTGCTGTTGTCTCGCAGGGTTTACAGCGGGACGCTTGTGCACCGGGTGGTCAGGGAGCTGAGGGGTGGGCAGGCTCCGGAGCGGCTGCTGGCGGGGTCCGCCCTGGCCCTGACGACCTTCAGGACCCTGCTGGGGGCCGTGCTGGCCAGCGTGCCCCCAGACTTCTTCTTCAGGAAGAGCAAGAGAAGAGCCAAGAGGCCCCCCCGGCCGCGGGCGGCGCAGACGAAGGGCGAGGCGGGCAGGGGGGGGCCCCCCGCCGCCCGCGACGCAGCCAACAGGTTCTCACTCCTGACGGTCGAGGACGACGAGGACGACGAGGACTGAGCTGCGTTTTTACCCCGTTTTGTACTGTAGCACACAAGGAAACAGTTTCTTAATACTACCTTTCTCCGGAGTCACGCTGAAACTGTTATATTTTTTGTAAAAATATTTTGGTAAAATGCTTTTGGTGCAAATTTTATACATGTATGTTTTTATTTTTCTAAGGTGACATTTTATCAGCTAACTTGCTTTCAGTCAAAGCAGAGGTGAATGCCCAAGAACATCAACACGAGTCTTCAGTTGCTACTGTATACTGTTCTCGTGACCTACTGCTCATCCACCTGCAAGTTGTGCAGACAGATTTTCGAACTGAAGCTGGTAAGTCCTTTAACGGGAAACACAGGTGTTTGTAATTGAATTCTTTTGATAGCAAAACAAAGATAACTGGTATGATGCAATTAACTGCTCGTCTTTCAGAAGCATAAATCGAATCCAACATCTCTTCATACTGCCTAACAAGTGAGATGTTGCAAAGCCGTAGAAAATAAGTGTAATTAAGTGCAATTGTTCTAAAAATTAATATCAATAAAAAAGCCCAGCACAGGAAGAAAACTGGCATATACTGTTACCATTGTGAAAAATGATGCCAAGCAAATGTTTCCCAGGTTGTGCAATATTTAATTACTTGTCAATGTATAAAGGTAATAAGGTGCAAATACTTTTTGATGATTAGACAGTTTATTCAGACCTAAAGATGAAACAAATTTATTTGTTAAGGTCCTGTTTACAGAAATGAGAGCCGAATCTTGCAGAGTTGTGGCCAAGAAAGCTCATTTTGTGCAGTATAGTTTGGGAAAATTTAAATAATCTACCACACTGTGTACATCTACCAATGCCTATTTTATATTGTATTTTAATAATGTATTAAAATATAAATTAAAAAAAATCATTATTGTCTTCGCTGAAATGTAATTATATGAATAACACATTTGAATTAAATACCGATACATCTTTCTGTAAATCATAATTTATTCAGTCTTTTCAGCCCCCCAACAAACAAGAGCCTTGATGAAAAGGTTTATAAAAATTTTAATATACAGGATTAATTTCATACATTGTCAACAGAATGAGGTGTCAGCTGTACACACATTAAACAAAGCACACTCAAGTCACTGCTTTTATCCGTTTAAAGAGCAGAGCAGCACAAGTGAGACCAGTGAATTAATCTGACCAGGGAAAAGCCTGAGCTGCAAATCAAAGATCTATGTGAAAAGGGAAGTAAAAAATGCTTTACTACAGTGAGTCCATAAGGCTTGGTGCTCATTTCCAGGAAAACACTTCATGGGCCCAGTTGGCCAAGATGAATATACGCCCTATGTACGTCTGAAGCCCATTATGTATGTGTGAAACACGTAACGTGAGAAGGTTCGACAAAATTTTAAAAGCAATTTTTATATCCAGTCTTTCTCAAACACGAGACACTACAAATCAAGCAAATGGACATAGATCCCATAGATATAAAAGTTATTAATGGTGCTGTAGTATAAAACATTTATAAATTCAAATACCATCCATTGTTGTACCTTCTGTAACAGTTACTGTTTTGTTCAGTGTGGTGCGATTTAAAAAAAATTAAGTGCCCTATATGCTCACTTATAATGAAAATTTCATTATCCAGAAAGGGTATAAATTTAAAGAGAAATCATTCAAACAGATAACATCTGAGAACTGAACACAAGAGTAATTACTTTGTTCCCGATTCTTACCCAAAACAAATACTTTAATAGATCCAGGTATACATACAAATCCAGCACTTGGCCATGCTATCACACGTACTCAATATAAAGACAAACAGAAAATGTTTGTGTTTTATAAAAAGGTTCTTTGTTCACAAAATACATGGTTTAATAGTGGTCACCTCCTCCAAAGTTTGCATACAAGATGAAAGCACAAAGTATTTCCACAATACTTATTCTTATTGTGAGTTTAATAATGTAGCAAAAAAGACCTTGAGCTGCAACGAGATCAGCTGGAATGCCTGAATGTAACATCTTTGCCGTTTCACAAAACAAAATCCATCTGGTTTTCTGAAAGAATAAAACACCTTTAAAATAAAACTGACACCCAAACAGTAATTTTATAAATAAGGGCTTTCAGATACTCTGAAAGGTTGTACAGTCTTGAAGCAGCACACCAAATCTTAAAGGGAAATATGTCGCCACTACAGTTCCTGTAGTTTAGCTAGTGCCTTCCCTGCAGATTTATTATTGGAAAAAAACAAAAAACAAAATTAAATAAAAACCCTTAATGGCAATAGAACCTGCTGCAAGTCATTTCCAGTCCGTATATGTCTGTAGACATTGCCTGTTCCTTTATCAAAGACACAATATGCATCATACTTCATGGAAGAAGGCTTCAGGCTTCTGGTTTCGTTCTCTGCCTCTCTCGATCTTCTTTATGGCCTCAGACACGATGCACACAGAGGACGTTAGTCCGAGTAAGAAAATTAAGTCTGGAAGATAACAGAATTGGTTACTACAGTTGTCAGAATCTCGAGCGCCGCACAGCAATTATTTTCAAACCTAATTACGAAAAGGCACACCAATAAAAAAAAATGAATACCACAAGGGAGCATACAGGACAAGCGGTAATAATTCTGTTCTAATCATTCGTGAACACTCTGCAGCAGGCCAGACTCATCTACAATGGAGGACATACAGGAAATGTGCATAATGTCAAGCCTTTGTAGATGCGTTTTGGTAAACGGTAAATTAGTTCAAAGGCGTGGTAGATGACTCCAAAGGTAGATCTTACCAAATATGCTGAGGCTCTCTGTCTGGAAAACCTTCTGCAGGGGTGGGAAGTAAATGACGAGCAGCTGTCCCATTATGGATCCCAGGACCGCGTAACAGAACATCCTGTTGCTGCACAAGCCGATCTCATAGACGAACTTCGTCTGCCAAGTTCGCAAAATCAACAAGGGACAATCAATTCCGACTTGCACGCTTGACATAACGCTCGGTTTGTCTCTAAGCGTTTTAAATCACGATAAAATAAAACAGCCCATGAAACTAATTTGATATATAAGCAAAGCATTTAAAACATTATGTTCACTATTGTTTCTGTTAAAAGTGACTGCATATAAGCCTTAAAGAGTTGGAAGCTGCAATTATACCAATGCAGACGTGTTCATTTAATACACTGTACCGAGGAAAAAGCACAAATCACCATTTTCTATTCGTCCGACTCAATTAACACCATCGTGTCATCCATTATTAAAGATTGCATTCCCCGTAAGGCTGTGGCTATCCAGAGGCTATTCCAGAAGCACAGGGCACAAGCTAGGACTATGCCCTGGATGATGCCCGTGTCTTACAGTACACACAAGGTACAATCGAGAGAGGACAGCTCACTGAGCAAAGAGTCTGAGGTGGGAGGGAACTGAAGGACCTGGTCGAAGGCTATTGCAGACTCGGGGATCAAATAAAAACTCCTAACAGAAGGAGCTCAAGACACTCAAGCATCCAACAGCTGGAATCAGCAGCATTAACAACATACCACTGTGCGACACTACAGTCTTTTCATTGGAATTAAACAGAGCTGGACAGAACTCATTGTTGGGCCACCATGAACGGCGCACAGAGGTTTTAAAAAAATGTAACTACATCACCTGTGACCTTGAGCTCAGCGCATTGAACATGTCAAAGAACACGAAGCACGTGAAGGTCATCGTCGTGTCTCTGGGAGTGATCACATTATCACGCAGCTGTGGGAGAGATCGATACACTTTGATTAAAATATTGGATTACAGCTACTGTACTGCGAGCGCAAGGCTTCATTTTCAACATTAAGGAAACCAATGCATTTGCTGCATCGAAAAGGGAGTGCAATATGCTACTGCTGGCAAAAACCAAACGAATCCAATGACGCATCATATTTTGAATACGCAGCATTTTTGTATTACAGTGTCGATTCTCAAGTAAGTCTACAAAATGCAATGAATTCCGCAAATTTAAAGTAATATTGCCCACACTGAGCTTTATAATAGGGACTGTTTTATTAGTTCAACAGATGATGATGTTATAATTGCCAATGATACATTCATCTCTCCTTTAAAACAACAATTTCCCATATTCTTGTTGAAAAGGTGTACTCCTATTTTTCTAATCCCAAATGCTCACAAAAGGAAACAAACGATACCTCTCTCCAGAAAACAAAGAGAGTCCCGCACACGATGATCAGCGAGGACACCAGGATTTTCACCAGCAGGTTCTTGGTGATAATGCTGTCTTTCACATTTCTAGGAGGCTTTCGGATAACATCCTTATCTACAGGTTCTACTCCCAAGCTAGAGGACCATAAAGAAAGAAACCAATATAGACAAATTCCTCAGAAGAGCATTTCAAACTGAGAACGAGAGGCAGTTCTTTAGGCAAAGGGTTATGCGAGTCTAGAACACGTCACCCAGCCATGTTGTTAAATACACTCTAGTTTTTAAACAGGTGGATGAGATCTTTGGATACATTAGCTACAAACAACCAAATAAATAAGACGGGTCAAATGGTAAAACTCATTTGGAAACTCAATCAAATCAATAAACTATATGTTAATTATCAATGATCCATCAACTACAGCAATAACCTTAGTTATTATTCCTGAACTGAGTGCATAATGTTTGTTACCTTTGTGCTGGAGGTCCATCCATTATGATATTAATCCACAAAATCTGCATTGCATTTAAAGGATTAGGGAAATTCATTAATGTGGCCAAAGAAATTAAAGTCAGTGCTGCTATACTCCTGAAAAATAAAAAATACAAAAAAATAATTAATATATTTTTAAAAGAACTGTTGTCAGTACCTGGTATTTGAAAACATGACCCAACAGTCTTAGGATATACCGTCTTAACATACTTGTACATGTTTTGTGCGGGAGGTGAACAAAAGTAAATTCTGAGTGGAAATTAAAACAAAAACTCACGTGCTCAATTGAAATCGGACAAAGTTTTTGATGTTATTGTAAATTCCTTTTCCTTCTTCAATGGCAGACCTGAAACATTTAAATCATTTTTAGAAGTACAAATACTTGGGAGAAAACTGGTTGAAATTGAAATGCTAAAATCTGAAATCTGAAACCTCTTACATCTTTAGCAAATTTATTACAAAAGAATTGTTAACTTCCCATTAAAAGTGAAGCTTGTAAAGATCAGGATGGAGATACAAGTTGTTTCTTCCGATAGCTTGATCGTGGTCAGGGATGTAATTATGTCACCATAATGGAGAAATTATTGAAAAAACAAGGGTCCTGGCGGTTGACTCGGAGCTTGAGATGCAGGAATTGACAGAAATGCTTGATATTTGACTGAAAGGTGAATTTAGGGCCTCTGACTGGAGCACTTCCTAGGGAAAGTGCTGTGGCTCTGCTGCTGCTCTGCTCTGTTACCTAGGGAGGTAACTGGTTATTGTCTTCTCAGTAGAGGTCTTCTTTGGCTGCCCTGCCCTGCCCAGGCTGTGAAATATAGGCTGGGACAGCGATATGCCCTGATGACACTCTATCCCTACTCCGGTCTGCTGCCCTCCGGGTTTGTCAGCAGGCACACAGCTAAGGGGGTCACACGAAGACTCGCCAACGACGGGCGACGACGCTCTGATTAAATGCGCAGTGGTCTTTTAATCGCCGGGACATAAAGCACGGCTTACATAATTGTCTGGAAGTCGTCATCCACGAGGATCATGTCGGCCGCCTCTTTGCAGACATCCGTGCCCGTCTGTCCCATGGCTACGCCTATATCGGCCGCCTTGAGCGCCACGGCGTCGTTGACTCCGTCTCCGGTCATGGCCACCACAGCTCCAATGTTCTGCAAAGACTACACAGACAGAGGTCGCCTAGATGACACAGATCGATTACAGCCAGCGTTACTTTCGGCGTTTTGATAAAGAGAGACGGGAGGTAATTCCTAAGGCAAACTGCAAGTGCAGAGCGAAAGCAGACCCATCTGCATAAATGAAAAACCAATGCATTTCAGAAACTGTCTCCACGCCCAGCGGTGGCACATACTCTACCTTCACAATCTTCAGCTTGTGTCTGGGGCTGGCTCGATAGAACACTGCCACCTGTGGACACATACAAGAATCCCCGTTATCTCCCCCTCCTGCGTTCAACAGCATCTTCTCCACAGGCAGACAGAAAATTCAACGGGACAATGGGAAGAAAACCCTCCTAAAGAAACGAACCTCCATCTGATAGGTCAAAAAGACTCAACTACAGTTCTAATTGTCATAACGCCCATAATAATTAAAACAAAGACAAGTTACATAAGCCTAAAGCTACATTTCGCATTGCTGGGTCTTTAAAAAAATACTTTTTTCAACATAGCTAGAATGCTTAGTGTTGCTCACTTACCCTTGGAGAGATCTGAGACAGCTGCTGGATGTCCATATGGTCAACCTCTTCCCCAGAGAGAGACTGAGATCCTTTCGAGTACAGTCCCAGTCGGCTGGCTGTAGTAAAGGAAAGTGACCACAGTTTCTAAACCTGAAAAACTGGACTGAATAAAGAATCAGATCAGCTTCTCAAGTACGGTGTGCCCATTTTAATTGACCACTAATCTGAAGGTTTCCAAACAAGCATTTTGCATTCAATATCACTACAATTTTGAAGTGGGGGTTTAGTTGATAAATCACAGCAGCAATGCCAGTGCTGTCAACACCTCCCGTTCCAAGATCAAGGACGGCATATTAACCCAGCAGGCGCACAGAACGGACACGCCACATACCGATGGACACCGCGGTCTCCTGGGAGTCTCCGGTGATCATTTTGATGGCCACTCCCGAGCTGATGAGTGTGCCCACAGCCTCCCTCACCCCCGTCCTCGGGGGGTCGATCATGCCCACCAGCCCCAGGAACGTCAGCTGTCCGAGCTCAGCGCCAGAGGCGAACGCCAGCACTGCCCACCGCAAGACAAGAAGCCAAGATGACCGTCAGCGAGATCCTTCACGTTCAGAGATGAAGGGACCTGTGCCTGTTAGGAGTTAACGGTTAACCTCGAGAACTGTCCCGCCGTTTCGTGCACTCCCACCTGGCCAGGTGTCTTCAAGGTCTCTTGAGTGGAGGTGTAACTCATGTATCCTACTGTACATGTGATTAGCGACATGGAAGCCATAGGGTCTTAGTTGATTAGGGTCTTGGTTAATTGCGCAAGGGTGACCTACCTGCCTAACTTTCTGACTTTGTTTACACCTGATATGGTAAGAAACCGCTACTGACCAATCATAAAAGTATGTTTTTGTATGAAAAAGTCTGCTCATCTTCAAGAATAAAAGCCCGTCGCTGTCCTTAGGAAAGTGAGTGCGAGACGAGGTCAACCTCTGAACTTTGTCTGTCCTCCTGTCTTTCTTGCAATAAAGAAATCCCCAGCTTGGTTTACCAGTCATGTGGTTAACTGAGAAAAGGGTCTAACAGAAAGATACTGTATTAGATATCATGTGCTCATCCATTCCTCTCACAATGGGTTGCACCCATGACCACTTGTGTATCTTGGTTCTGACCCAACCCATTCATTACTTTCTCTTTCTTAAAGCTGTTCTGAGTGTACAGGAGTCCATGCTTCCTTGTGTTTTGTGGAGATATTTCAATCACTTTCATTCACATTTAAATGGATTTAATCATCCTGTTTATATATAATTCAACTGTTCAAAAGAAGCACCAGTCAAAAGCTAGACTATAATCAAAATCAAACTTTATTCTCATTTTACCACAACTGGAGTGTATGAGAGTCTACAAAAGTCACAAACAAGAACGAATTCTATAGTTTTAATAATGCCGATGTCAAGAAAAGATTGAGTGATAATTTCAGAAGAGCCAGTAATGTCATGGGATAAAAAATAACAGTACTGATACCTAAATCAATTACTTTTTTATCATCTTTACCGAAGAAGCTGCTCAGGGTTATTGCAAATGAAATGCACTACAACCTTTGAAGCAGAAAAGCACAAATTAATCATGCTTTTCCTCAAGAGCCTCTGAAGATAAACCTCAAAACTGCTCAGATTACAGCCACAAAGCACATACAGCTGAACCAGTCTGGTTCTCTAAGTCACTGCTGAGAGCCGTGCCTTCGCTCTGGAGACCTGTCTCTGGTGTCCTACCTCTCAGCCCCGCTGTGCCCATGTAGGTTTTCTGCTGTTGGAAGAGCTCCCTCTGCGGCTGTGTAAGTGGCAGTACCAGTCCTTTGCTGTTGTAAGAAGTGCAGTACCGTATGACTTGTTCATAGGCCCCTTTCAAGAAATAAACCCCAGGTTTGTCCTAGAAGAGAAATAGTACAAGAATACGCAAAGCCGTTGGATTTTTAAACCTATACACAAACTGTTTCAATGTATGACCTACTTCTCTCTTTCATCTATTCGTAATTTAAAAAAAAGATGATATTTATGCACAGCCTTCTTATTCTTAACACCAACAAATGGTTTTAGAGCTTTTCTGTGGCATAAGCTTCCTTGGCATTTAAAGGATAAGGCTTTTGAGACACCTGGCAGTTTCTTATGTTGAGTGCTTCATGCCAAATAAAGGAAAGTTCATTTTCGTTATGTAGCTACAGTACAACACTCAGATAAAATTCCCGTCTGTTCTCAGAAGGTGGTTTCCAAGCTGGAAGGATCACGGATCCCACCTGCTGTGTCCGATGCACACACTTGACAGCCATCCATTTCTGCTCCGAGGTAAAAGGGTGCTCTTCTTGTCTGAGATACTCCTGTCGCACACCTTCAAGGCCCATCTACACATGAAAGAAAAACCAGTTTCACCTCCTGAACACCTCCGGGTAAAGAATAAAAAGAAAACAAATGTATAAAATAGCCTACTAGCATCATCTCTCCTATGAGCCACTGGCTTTGGGTACCTGAACAGATCTGATAGTGTACTCTATCATTCTCTGACACTTTTCACTGTAACCATGACATTCTAGTCAAGTTTTCATTGCAAACCCGAGTCTTACACTTTTCTGATCTAATAATTCCTTGCATGTGCTTTACACACAGGGGGTGACCCACTCCATCCAACCACTGAAGATCAGCTCCTAAATTTAAGCACGAGACCTGGATTAACACTGCTGCTCTTACTGACAGCACAGGACCTTGCAACTACCAAGTGGTCAAGACACTGGTTTAACGCCTCATCTGAGTGACTCTTCTACAGCAGTGTTCCCATCAAAATACTGGGACACTGGTTTGGAAAGTCTCATCTAGAAGGAAGGGTATCGCGAACATCATTTACAGCAGCTACATGTATTTTCACATCTCCTATCCCAGGAATCACCATTCCTAGATAGGTCAGGCTACACGATTAACACCTGTCACCATGCATTAAAAGATATAGAAGCTCCAAATACTAGTAATCAGTAAATTACTTTTATTATTCGTACAGGTAGGTTTTAACATTCGCTGTTTGTTAACCAAAAGGGTGAAAAAACTCAGGCACTGAAACCCTAAACTGAAGGTTTAAAGATACCATTTCTAGGATGAATACAATTTTTTTTCTATTATCAGCGGAATTGGGCTCACTAGACAAAGATTCATGGAAGACACTTCCCAATAATCATATTACAGGATCACACCAACTACATCAAAACTGGATGGCATGTGTTTCTCCAGACAAATCTCGCACAGTGTCCGAAGACCGACTGGGCTATTGGCTGAACATCATACAACAACAATGGCTCCATCGGCTTCGCTCAAGACCGCCTGCAAACGGAGACAGGCGACTTCTTCAAGCCAAGAGAGAAAGACAGGAAAGTTCGGAAAGCTGTGTCAAAGCTGTTCCTTTGAAAACGGATGTGAGTTTGCAAGACTAGTGCTGATCAGGAAGAAGCCAGGGACGAGAAACTGAGCTTGACGTTCGCGAGGAGAATATCAGCGGAGAACAACGCGCCTGTCAAATCAGAAGCTACAGCACAGCAGGGTTCCAAGCTTTCTTTCCCACTGCTTCTCCCCTTTCTCCCCGACCCGGAGCACCTCCGCCTCTTGCTTCCTGGGGATTTGTAACTTTAAATGTTGGGTCTGCTTTTATCTTCTGAGTGCTGTCCAATAATAAATTGCAGGTTTTGCAATATGAGTTACACCTCTCGGTTCTGCAGCATACCAAACAGATCCTTCAACAGAATGGCTTTTTGATGCCGATATTTCATTCTGGCACTTTTCTTTAACTGCCCAGATTCATTGATTTGCACGGATAAAATGAACATTCGTTTCTTATTGCTCAGTTAATCACAGTTCCTATAATGATTAGGCAATGACTGCTAAGATTACAGTGCTTTCAGGACTAATCAGAGGATAATTTTACTACAGGTTACAGAACCGAAAGGTTACACGGTCAAGAAAAACTCCACCCTACTTACGGGCCATCTACTGTAAGTTTCTATGGGTTAACATAGCAGGGACTGGCACTCAGATATTATTAGCACGTAATAATCAGATATTAGTTTAGAATTTGCACATGGTGATTTCAAGTAATTCCTCTTATTGTTCCAGGGAAATTGGAAAGCTTTATACTCTAGGGTACAATAGCCTACTTAATATAATAAGGCTTCTATCAAGAAGCTTATGCAATAGACAGGGTTAGTTTCTCACCTCCAGTCTACAGACTGAAGAGATTTAAGAGAAGAAAAATGTGCATACATTTTTGGAAGCACTGATTGACTTGCATTAATTATATTTTATTAGTTGGCAGTTCCCTCAAGACTACTTCCAGCACAGTGCTCCCAGGAGGCTCTGAAGCCTTCCACAGTACAGGATGAGTCAGACAGCCTGATCTCGGTGATCTCAGGTGCAGACAGAAGCTGTGTCGATTGCCAGCTGCAGCAAAGATGCATAGTCCAGTTGTTCGGTCAGGCAGCTCTGTAGGACACAGCTGTCCAAAGGAACCTTGATCTGCAATGTATTGCAATCTGCCTTCTTGATTCTGCACGTGTAGATCTATGTGGTGTTTCTGTGTGCAGTCCTGCAGTTGACAGCTAAGACCTTAATTTATGTTTAGGAATCACAGAGCAAAAAGAAGCAACTGGCTCAGTTTTCTCAGAGAACAATGGTCATTTACGTTTAGGGCAGCACAGGGTGAGTATCGTTGAATAACAGCTGAAAATGTTAAAGAAGAGTATTGAAATGAAAAATAATTGCAATGCAATTTCTTAAACCCCTAAAACATTGTGAACCTTTCTCCTACATTTCATCCTGATAGTATCCTAACTCATCAGTTTAATTCCTTTTATTCTTCAGTTAGTGGGAAATAATTCATGTTGTGTTTAAATGCACCAGAGTTTTGTAAAGACAATCAAGTTGCTAGTACCTCTGCAGCACAAGCATGTGACTAACATCAAATAAATTAGACATTAAACTCCTAGGGAGCTTTATAAACTTCTTACATCTGATTTCTACAGTTATGTCCAACACACTGCTAAGAAGACAGCAAAGTAGAAATTGTTGTGCTGCATTTACAAAAAGCAGAAAGGCAGAAGTGCAACACAGACAAGACTAAATATGACTGAACCCAAAAATGTGCAACAGTGTTCTACTGTGAGAGAGCAGGCCTACAGTACCGCTGCTGCTGCTGTCCTCCCAATCGACATGAAAGGGTGTGCTCTCACCTTCATCCCCAGAGCAATCAGCGCTCCTTCTGTCGGCCTTCCCATCAGAGTACCGCTCCTTATTACAGCGTCATTGCAAACACACCCAGCCTTAAAACGAATACAAGAGTCAGAGAAAAGAACATGAAGCATTAAAAAAGTTTATTTAGCATAATTCTTAGCCTTTTATCTAAGTACTGTACGTGCAGAGCAGACAGCCTTACCCAGGACACCCTAAAGTGTTTATACACTTACTGATTGAGTGTAGGTAATGTGCAAAAGGAAATAACAGGTCTTATTACAGGCAAGTACAATAAGATTTAATACATAGATTAACAATTAAGTCGCTTTTTGATTTGCATATTATCTTGTAAAGAATTATGCATTTTGTCTGCTTGAAAGTAGCCATCTTGGTTTAAGCAGATCATTTAATATTTCAAATTCCGTTCTGACAAGGGTCACAACTCCGAAACTTCATGTAAAACAGTCCATCAGCCAAGAAGAACATGAAAACAATGCAAAATGATACATGGCAGCCAAACCACTTGACTTAAGAAATCAGCCTCATCCACTTGGACTGCTTGCACTACGGTTCTGCTACTCTGAAATATTTATTACATGCAGATCTACCCTTTCGTACAACTGGCAGGCTTGTTGTGGCCATACTTCTTGACTCAGGAATTCTATCTTAACTGCATTGGAAGAAGACAACACAATGTTAACGTATACCAAGATTCAAGTCAATCAGCCTCTGGAGTCTGGAGGCTTGTTTTAGTCAAAATCCAATATGGCTACTATATCATGATCCATTCATGTTTCCTGAAAACCAATTAGTTCGGGACGTGACAGTTCTATGTACACAGTTTGCCAGCTATAATATTTGCTGTTCCAGGCAATAAGAGGTTTAAAAGTCTCTTCTTCGAATCAAATAAAATCCAATATATCCTGGTGGCCTGACCATGTGACCCATTAACACCCCTTTCCTTTTTGGGGGGCACAGATCCACAGAAGTCTAGCATTCAAGCAAACCCAAAGTTTTGGGCTCTCAATTTTCACTTTTCAAAGTTAACCATCTGGAACTGACAGGAAATGAATGTACTCAAGTTTGGTACTAAAATAATTTAATAATAAGCTCACTCTGTCCGGTATCTCTAGAGGGGAAAAAAAATATACAATCAAATATCTTGACGCGTCAGGAAAAGCCAACAAAGGAAAATAATCTTCATAAGAAGGACACACGTCCAGACGCCTTTTGCTTGGAGGCCCGACGGAGTAGCAGCTTACCTCTACTAGCTTACTGATCGAGGAGTGGGAAAAGCCGTGGATCACTTCGCCATCAAGGGTCACCTCTCCGGCACCGTTGTATCCAACTCCAGTAACCTGCCGGCCACAGGGACACACTGCACTATAACAGAGGTTCACGTCTTACAGTACCCAATCAAGGCAGCCTCCAGCCACTTCGTTTAGTAATACATGTTATCTGGGACTTGAATTAGGTGGCGGAAATTATATGGCCCCTGATTAAATCAATGTTAGCTAATGTAGTGTCAAAACACTCCTAACAAAGATGGTCTGAAGGATAAAGTACTTCCTTGACTTTTAGAAAATTTGAAATTCGAGAGCACATAATCTGTCTGGACATGGATAAAGCACCATTTTACGCCAGCCAGATTAATTTAAAATTGTACCATTATTAGTGAGAACTCCAGCGCCCCCGAAAACAGCTCTGGCCTTGAATTCTTCGACTCTTACCTCGGCGTGGAGCCCGTCGGAGGTGAACACGTGAGTGACCGTCATCTCATTCTTTGTCAGGGTTCCGGTCTTGTCAGAGCAGATGACATTGCAGCAGCCTGCGTGAACATGGGTCAGATTCCGAATGGAACAATGAAACGACTGAAATCCAATTACCAGGGAGAGGAGAGAAGAAGGCATTTAGGAGGTTTTGACCGTGGCTCAGTCGTCACAGAACAATGCACAGAAATTCTTTTTTATCTCCTATGCAATGACCTTGGCTGTAGGTTAAAGGGATAGACTGACAAATAAAGATATCACTGTACATTTCCTTAGTCACACCAACACCATTGAAATTACTGAGTGCAATACAGCCTCCTGAAGGTAATTTATGGAAATGTCAAACACTCAATTTACTGCCTTGTTCTCCAGGCAGCTTCAAACAGTGGATACTGCTCAAAAGAAAATATGCTTCTTTACAATACGTACTGCTGTCTGGGTGAGGTCCTGCACACAGCAGACCCCAGCCTGCTTCAGTGCATGAATAATTCCAAAAACATTCCTACATGCACAGCATGTATTAACTACAATTTCACTGAATTGCCAGGAATATAAAATAGAACCCTAAGCTGTGCAAGTCATATACACATTTTATATTGAGAGCCAATATAAAACTATTTTTTCCATTTTAACACCCAACCATCATAATTTATAAAACATGCTGGACAGTACGCCGAGCCCCAGACATTGTACAAATTCCTTGTCAAGCTCATGTTCCTTCAGCGTCAACCAGCCGTGAAATGCAAATTCTCATTGTCAAACAGGACGCATATCATTTAATGGGCAATGTGCAAATGAGATTAAAAAAAAAACAAGCCTCATTTTAAGCACCTTTTTTATTCCCGATGAGTCACCCTTCAGACTTGCCAGAACATCTGAAAACCATTCTATTGTACATAAAATTATTCTCTTTAATTATTTTCCAAGTCCCTCTTCAAGACTAATTTTTAAGATGGCTCTATGTTGAAAGTTCAATGGAGGAACCACTCAGTTCCTCATATCTAAAGGTACAATATACATGTATGTATATACACCTATGTGTACTTACAGCATACAATACACTCTGTGGGTATATACAGGTCACACAGGAAAAACAAACAAACAGAAATCTGCTCAAAATGGCCGTACCTAGTGTTTCCACAATTGGTAGCTTTTTCACAATGGCACGCTTTTTCACCATCCTCATCACGCCCAGCGCCAGCGTCACGGTCACCACGATGGGTAGGCCTTCAGGAATAGCAGCCACTGCGAGGCTGGGGGGGGGGACGGCACACACTTTACAGTAAGGCAGAAAACAGCACCGATTCGGAAACCAGGATCATTTTCGGTGTAATGGCATTCTGTACAACTGGGATGCCAAACACAGAAAAAAAAGATGATGACCAAGAGACACCAAATTAGCCTGCTTCCTGATGACTTGCAGGTCATGTTAACCAAATCTGCAATTTAAATAAAGTGAGCCATATTAAATGCCAAAACAATCTTTTTAACATACCCACTGTATTGGCTTTTTATTGAAAAAGTCAAAAGGAAACTGAAGATACATTTCAAGGGTTCTATAATGATGATGGAAGAGAACATCACCCTTGAAATTTACCAGAATTTAAATAAAAGGTATTAGAGAATAAATAGATCATGACAGAACATTTGAAGCCTACTATAGCAATCTCATAAGTCTATTACTCACATTTTATAGAATTAAAAAAGCCAAATGCTTTACTTACCTAACACCGATAGTAAACATATCGAGAATATGCTTTCCTTGGAGCCAGCCAACAAGCATGATGACTCCTATACCAAATGAAAAGTTATAATTACTCAACACGATAAACTGAGTAATACCTGTAAGGGATATAAGTGAATCATTAGTAGAAAATAAAGCGGCACCATTCGTTTTGCAGTCTATCACCCTTAGAATGGTGGTTTTGAAAATATATCCTGAAACGTACAAATCTCAGGCAAGTATAGCTCTATGCCAATATCACGGAAATGTGAAAAAAACCCACCGATTATCCCAAACGAATAAAGGGAGAGTTGTTTTCCTAAAAGATCCATGCTTTTCTGCAAAGGTGTTTTGGGGGCCTGTAAAAAGAAACAGATGAGTTTGCCAAGAATGCATTACAATACGTTCACTTTTTGATTACGGTGATGTGAAAAACAGTTACTCACATCTTCAGCTTGCATCATCTTGAACACCTCACCAAATTCGGAGTTTTCTCCCGTTCCAATGACAATGCCCTGAAAAGAATAAAATACAGAAAGGCTGCAGTTTGTAAACTGAAAAAAGTATCATCATACACGTGAGACACTTACACAGTACCAGAAACTTTCTGTCTATCCGGTCAATAAAAGCTATTAAGCTATGGATTTATCTCCCTGCTATTTGTTTTTAGCACCAATTTCGAACATTTCAGACTCACTTCCCTACATTCCCCTGCTGTGCCGTTTGCCTCCTGCGTCGGTTCTCATCACTGTGAAGAGGACTTGTCTGATTTAATTGCACAGATTGCACGAGAGAGGTTTTCAGCGCGACAGGAGGTCCCCTTTTCCCCCCGGAGCGTGCGGGGCGCAGTGATGAAAGCAGCAGCAGCAGAGCCTGCCCTTCGTGGGGTGAGCAGAACTCACCTTGGCCTTCCCACACCGGACCAGCGTCCCCATGAAGGCAATGTTGCTGCGGGAGGCGATGTCTCCGTTGGCGCCAGCCGGCTGAGGCGCCGTAGACTTCGCACACGGCGCCGTCTCCCCCGTCAGGCTCGACTCGTCCACCGACAGGTCGGCGGCCTGCGGTCCGAACCCAAGGAAAACCCAGGTTACTACGGATTCGGCTGCCCCAGGAAGCCACATGTCCGAGACAGTGAAAGCACCGCTTTCTCAAGAGACACCGCCCAGCGCCATTCCACAGCTCGCAGAGAAACAGCAAACAAGCCACTGCCCCAGGCTTCCATGAAACAGATTCCTCTGGTTAACTGGCGTCACTAAATTGCTCCCCTATGCATGTGTGTCCTGTCCGGTGAAATCCTGACTAAGTTGCGAGGTGTTGCCTCTAAGGACAAAGCGGTCGTTGTAGATGGGTTAAAGGAAGGAGCCTCTTAGGACGTGCAACACCTAAGGAAAAAACGATCATGACATTTTGACTGGCTAACGCACGTTCTGCTGTACATCATATACAGTACTTTTCAACTTTGAAGGAACGTCTGCTCCTGCCACAACTTTGATGTTCAGTGTTATTTTATAGGTGTAAGAAGGGCAGCTGTACTGAAAGAGAGAGAGAGTCCCCAATCAGTCATTCTAAAGAGCATGATAAAAAGAGAAACTATACTATACTAATTAACCTCATTACTGTAAATGGGATGCAAACAGTGTGACACTAAAAAACGAGTCCATGTGAGGCCTTTTCCTTTCAGCTAGGAATAAACCTTCACCTGTTGCACATGATGCCTCTGCCTGATGGTCACCAATACACATGCAGTCATTCACTGAGCCATCACAATGAAGTCACACTCAATCCTACCTCAAAGAGGCGCAGGTCAGCAGGAACCCTCTCTCCCACGGACAGACAGACCGTGTCCCCAGGGACCAGCTCTCGGGCCAACAGATGCTCAAGGGATCCTTCCCGCACACTAGAGAACCACAACAAGCCAACCTCTTACCTACTGAATATCATTACAGGTTCTGTGTCAAAGCTAACAGTTGAATCTGTCAACACTTGGCAAGGGCTGCACAGTCGTTGAAGCCTATAATGTGGCTTCTAGCAAGAAACAGCTGAATTAGATCAGCTGCATCAGTTAGCTACCACACTGGCTATATAGTCTGAATAGTCTCCTTTCCTTTGAACCTGGTTACAAAGGTGATGGAAGATCTGGGATTCCTAATGCTTTCCTTTTTGTATTGGTTATTTAGTTCAAATGAAATTAAAAACATTTTCACGTAGGTGTTTTCACGACACTTACGAGCATACAGCACAAGGCTTATTCAATTGCTCTGATTTAATTAAAGGAATCTGAAACCAGCTCTTAGCAGTGGGTTTAGGTCTTGAGAACCAGTTCAGCGTGTTGATATGACTGTTTGCGGCGAGTATTACTGTACAAAGGAGTGCAAAGAAAACTCACACCGTAAGATTGACAAAAGAAGTAGAAATTGAGAATGGGTGTGTTGAGCTGTATGCTCCCTTTTTGATATGTAAATGAGTAACTCCTGGGCATGTTTGATATGGAAATAAGGACAGCTTTCTAGTCACTGTACGCCTTTTCTCACAATTAGTTTGACACATCAGAGGAAACAAACAAATCTTCACTTGAAAATGACATGTACCATGAACCCTTTACACAAGCTAAAAAAAAACTCATAGAAAAACAATTGTAATAATCAAAGACTTGTTTGTGAACACATTAATAAACAAAACAAAAATATTAGCACCTAACTGTTTTTTTTTAGAAATAGCAAAGGAGCTTATTAATTCACAGCTCAAAAAGACTGTAAAAATCTGATGAAGATCATGAAATGGCAGCACTTTTAAAATTGATCAAAACCAGATCTTTGTTTTCCATTTTGTGATTAAGGAAAGCAAACAGAGTCTGTAAACACACCACCCATGACAGCACTGTCATGCCCTAGATACTCCCTGCTTCTCAAAAATGCTTCTATTATAAAAGACTGCAGTTTAATGCAGCTGTACTATGGTTATGACTAATATCCACTGTGAATCAAGTTACAACTTCCAGGCTGTGTGCCTTTCTCAACTCAATTAGATTTCAGCCCAGATTCCTGGAGACTGCATATTTAAAGCAAGATGTTATACCCTTTGACCCCGTCATTTTTTGCTGTTAGTGACAAAAAAAAAAAGAATCTGATGAAAATAAAATAACTTACCAGTTGCATTCGGGAGGCACTAATTTACCCAGTTCTTCTAAAGATTTTTCAGAACGATACTCCTAGAGAAAAAATAATATATACTGAAAATATAAATGAAGTCTATGACAAAGATTATAGAAAACACAGTTCACACACAATTAGTTTTAATCTCAACCTTTTCCTTTAGATATTTTTACATTGAAATAACCCATGCGTGTATCATAATATATAATATACTCTTGATGTTTTCCACACGCAGTCTAATTCCCCATAAAAGTATTTATTAATTCAACAGCACAAGTCTTACCTGTACAAAGGCAACTGTAACAACAATGATAATGGCCTAGGACAAAAAGAAAAAAAAATCATACAATTGAAATTCTGTTTCTGACGGATAAAAATAAAGCAAAGCCAAGCAGTAACTGAAAGAATGAAGCACTTACCACAGTGATGCTGACTGCGTCGTCGAACTGGTGCATTAACACGCTGATGACAGCGGAGGCCAGCAGCAGCATGATCAGTGGGTTTTTAAACTGAAAGGAGTAAAGGGGGGAATTAAATCAGGCCCATGATTGAGCCATCCCTCAACACAACAGAAAAAAAGCACCAGCAGATTTGAAAAATAAAAAAAAACGAAACCCGTTTTCCTGACTGCACAGTCAGGACTGCACAGGAATGCACAGTGCCATTACTTATTCATACAATGATATGGCAAGTGTCAGTGTAAAGGGCTGAGAGCATGGAGGACTCTGACAACTCAACACGACTGTTCCTGTTACATTACTGGAGGGCAGAGGCTACTTGGAAATTGAGGTTTTAATGCCAAAATTAGGTATTAGTTTCATGGTCAAAACTCATAAAGTGCTTCCTTTGTTCTAATGAGAGCTACAAATTACAGGCACGGCTCTTCAACAAAATACAGCAGTTAAATACATGCAAAACCAAATGATGTAAAAATATAATTCACTCTCCGATGAAAACATTTGATCAATAAAAGTTTATTTGACCTATTCATTGCTAATTATCTACTCTGATTGAAAATCCTCACCTGACAACTACCGTAAAATACAATATCATCAGACTGACACCAATATTCGTGATGCCAAAAAAACAACAATACATTTGGTGATGGAAAAAATCTTTTCGGTATAACTGTGTTATGTTGTGTAATGTTATGTACAGCAATATGACAGCAGTGCCTACACCCAGAGAGGCATTTAACCTGATGAAGGATGGCAATATCTAATATTGAGACCCAACCCCACAGCCTGGTTTGGAAGCTGTCTATAGGGATGCATTTCACTGCATCATGACTTTCTTCTGAAGACTTCCTGTAACGAGTTGACAAGAGCAGTCATGTACACAGCATGACATGGTATGACTTGCAAATGTGTTAATTTCTAGTCAGCCTTCCGGTCTGATGAAATCGAAATTCCAGACAGATGTTAACCGATAGAGGTGTATCACTCAGCGTCTGTGGCATACTAGTTTGTCATAATAAAGCAATTTTCACTTTCCTTTGAAAATACTGCACCCTACACATGCAATGTGTCCATGAATTCCATTTTATTTATTCTTACTGAACACTGCTAAAAAAAAAAAAAACTTTTTGTCTGATGATGAACAGTTGAATGAAGAAAAGTTCACATTCTTTAACTTCAATCTTTTTCCATGCACTAAAAAAAGGAAAATAACCTCAAAAGCACTGAGTTCTTCAGAACTCGGTGCAAGAGGCCCCACTGCCTTGCTGGCAGTCCTGTCCTTCTTCCTACTCCTCCCAGCAGGCAACCACACTGGGCAAGAACAAGCGCAGATTCGCCTCGCCAACTTCCCTTCCTTTTTTTATTGTGCCGTGCTCTTATACTGCCATCGTGTAGATGGCCACACACTGGCGAGTCCCCAAATCCCAATCAAGGTCCACGGTCGATTCTCAAGGAGCCCAGTCGAACTGTTTTCTCTCCTACCGTTCGGTGAACGGAAGCGAAGCATTCGGTCCAAGCCCAGCAGACTACGGACCAGCTCCTACCTCCAGGCAATAAGACTCCTAAATAGCCAACCTGCAGCTCCTTTAGCAAATCGCCCATGATGCCTACGTGGACACGCAGTCCTCACTGTACTGTGCACAGTGCACTACCTGGACATCATGTACTGCACACACCCTGGACACGTCGCAGCTCTATTCATATTGAGTTTTGTCCGTTTGTTTTATTTAATTTCTATTACATTATCATCTATTATTATGTAACCTTATTACTGCCCTGTGAGCTCGTAGAAAAGACATTTCATTGCCAGCAACTACCGCTGCTGCACGCTGTATTACTGTGCATTTGATAAATAAACTTTGATTGAAAGGGGACAGCAAAGGGCAAAAGACAAAGGTCACTGCTATCAGAATTCCAGCAAAGAGGCTTTAAATGAATTCATTCTGGATAGCTGGCTTTCTCTTACTTATGCCTCATTGTAACTGCCTACTTAATAGTCGCTATAAGAGTCATGTGATCATTGAAATTATTCATGGCGATTCCTTAAGTGACTGATTCAGATTACACATGAAGCACATTAAGCAGGAAGACCAGACTCCTGCTGTGGGAAATGAGGTGCCAGCACAAAACAGCCTATCCCACAATAATGGAAAAGGTAATTAAAGACTGTTCAAAACGGCAAAACAAAAAGTGGAATGGAAATGCAGGTGTAAACAGGCAGAATATCTGGACAAAGCTAGCCAGCACTTTACTGATGTTTACTAAGGCACAGGGATGTAGATTTGTTGTACTTCTTCACTGCCATTTCCTCTGTAGGTTACGTTTTCCTTTCCAATTTACAATGAGAGTTAAACCATGGTATAGGATCTAAGGCATAATGACAACCCTGAAAAAACAGGTACACACTGTTTTTTAATAAAACTGCCTTTAACACTCAACTCCTAAGCAGCTGACAAGTCAGTAATTTCAAAGTGCCGCTAATAGCGGAAAACATACAACTTCTATGATAATGGATGTGATTTTTCATCCTATAATCCAGTAGTTATTTGCAAATGGAACAACTTAATGGACCGAATAGATTGTTGTTGTGTTTCATGGAGACTGATTGCCCATGCAGACTCGGAAATGTGACAAGAAGCAAGCAATAGAAAAATGCATACCTCCATACGTAACATAAGACACAGAGGGACAGAATTCAAATTCCTTCCATCTGCGGTGACTGCGTTTTTAAATTCAGATGTTCCTTTTGCCAAGAGCTTACAGGAGATTTTTTTCTGGAAGTATTCTATCAACGGAATAATAACATTGAAAACACACCCTTGTAAACCTAGTCTGAGAAGGAAGTTTCCTCTTCTGAGAATTCAACCGATTAAGTCCCTTGAAAACACACAAAGGCTAGAGAATAAAGGCCAGGTCTCACCTGAGAAATGTACTTCTTCCACAGGGGCTCGTCTTCACTGATGTCAAACTCATTCCAGCCATGGTAAGCTCGGCGACGTGAGACCTCACCATGTCTTAAGCCATACTGCAAGTCAGCCTGGGAACAGCGATAAACCATGAGCAGCGATCTGTCCACAGCAGGTTATCTGGAGCTCTTGTTCAGACAAAAGCCCTCCCAATTTATTCAGCACGAACAGCAGACTTAAGCGTTCGGCTTTAACAGCCGTAATGAAAAATAACTCTGAGGCCTTTGGCTGACTTAAACTATTTAGGATTTTTGCTTTGTTTCTAATCGGTAATTTTTAAATGCATGTTTAGTTTTATACCCATTGTATTTCTGTGACACAAACGGGTTTCTGGAAATGGCAGCAAACAGGAGGTGGAAAGACTAACCAGCTTCTTATTAAGCTTATTATCTCTGATGTTAAGTGCTGCATACAGTGGGTTTTCATTAGTGTTACCGATTTTCATTCTAAAGACAACAGCTGATCTGTTTCGTATTCTTTTGTTTTGCAGAGAAACAGACATACCTGTAGAAGACAAGCTACTTCATTCACCGGAAGCTCACTGGCTTTTTTTGATGCTAGTACCGGAACCATATTCTCATCTTCACAGTGGGGTAGACTTTCAACAAGCTGGAAGCAGAAAAGCAAAAGGAGATATAACCACAAGTGCTTTCAGAAAAGATTCCTCCCACTTGTACAGGAACGGCAAACACAAATGAACACAAATTACATCTAAATTCTCAGGTTAAAGAAAACTATTTGTTGGAGCACAGATATTCTTTAGTGGGAGTTTTTTCATGACTGCCAATGGATGAGTTTGTATTCTGTGTCCACTTTTATCTGAACATAAAGATGGGTACAAACGAGGGAGGCTGTTTGACAGTTTTGTAGTTAGTAGCTAACTGACCCAAGAATCCCGCGAAGCTGTTTCTTGAAAGCAACAAGATGGTATGAACCTCAACAATATGGCTGGGTAGTTTGTTTCAAATCCAAGAGTACATTAGCAGCTTCTCAGTCCAGGGGTAGTACCCCCATCTTGAGTAACTGTTGGAAAAGCCGCATCATTGTCTTCTGGATAGCATCTTTTTTCCTTAAGCAAAATCGATAAAAATGAGACCATCAGACCCTGAGGATTTATTCATCTTGAGCGGTTCTAGCATCCAAATATATACTATCTATACTACTGAGTAAGGAACTTCGGCTTTCCACTTCCACTTTTCAACATCCTCCACAGCGAACACCCGAGTGAAATACTCATTTAGTACATCAGCCATTCCCCTTTCATTTACTACTCGTTTCCCATCATTTTCTGGGAAATATTTTCCTTCTTCCTTCAAGTCCTTTTGTTAGAACACTATATCTCTTCCTTGTTAATCTCTAACGGAACAGAGTGTGTCTACCAGTGTTACAAAATACACTAAAGTTTCATAAGTGCTGCCCATGAGTCATTTTAATTCATCCCTCAAACCCATAATAATTGATAATGGACTATCAGTCTAAAAACTGAAACCAGTCATTTTGGAAACTATCATTTGAAATAACCACAGCATTTCTTTTCATCTTTATAGAGACAATAATCTGTAGATCTAGATCTAACTGAAACCCACCAGAATCTGTAATGGCTAGGTGAACTATACCTACAGTATAACCAAACAATAAGAAACAATCTGTAGTTTTATTTTATACTGTTATAAAACATGTTTCAAAACTCAGTTTAAAATACCTCTGTTGAAGTTAAATGCATGACAGGCAGTCCTCTTCCCCGGACATTTGTGTTACTGTTAACCGATTTGCTATTGTGAATATCAGGAATACCACGTGGCAGTAAGATGGAAAGGCATCAAAAGAAGACGCAAAAGGCATTAATATATTCCTACAAATCACAGTCAACATCTACACATTTGCCAGAGATTACAGTGTCAGATCTAAACTAAAAAAAAAATGCTGTGACCAAATGGGTATTTTTTTTAAAAATCATTTGCAGCACACAGTATGATGTTCTTATTTTCCTTTAGAATCATTTATTGAAAAACAAAGAACAACCCATTTGAAATCACCCAATAAATGCCACATGTTGACAAATCTGTTTTACAGACTTTGTAATGCTATGAAGTGAACTGAGAGATTAACGCATCTGATATCGTCTGTAAAGCCCTGGGCTTACAGTGCATCAATAATGCAACTGCTACCCTTGCACCATATGTCCTGAAAACTGTTCCTGTAATATTCAAATTGTAAACATCACCACAGAAAAGTACAATTTTCTTCCACCAAACAACTTTGGTTGAACTCTTTTGTTATTGAAATGAGCAATTGAGTTCTATAAATTCAGTACACGACCATTAAGCTATGATATAATAGTTGAAACAATTATGACATCACTGTTTCTAGCCGTTAAACAAATGGTCAATTTTATCAATTATGATAATAACTTGCCCAGGACTTACAGTTCCACAGCACAAACAAGAAAACTCTGCTACATTAAAGGCGAAAACCTCCTGTTATCCTCATCTTCTTTGGTGCTCATGTTGTAATAAATCCCACAGTATATCTGTCGCACACAGAGACTGCCAACAACCTAGCTACAATTGGACAGGTCTCATGTCATGGTAAGCCCTAAGATCTTAATCATGCATTCTCTCCTGCCATGGCTGTGCGGATTAATCCCTTTAGAGACCATCTTGAAAATGTCCACAGTAAGAGGTCCTTCAAAACTAATATTAATTTTCCCGGTTTAAAAAAAAAAAACAAAACAAAGCATTTTACATAAGAACAAGTCTTAGCCAGACAGGATTCTCATAATTAGGTCTGACAAGTTCTTTAATCTGGATCAGACTCCTCTTCTCCATACAGTTGGTACAGTAGTAACCATAAGCAGTTACACTATCCAGCCCAGGTCACTGCCTGAGATATACTGCATGCATGCACTAGTTTAAACTCAACCTGAAAAGCAGAGAAAAGGAATACAAAGGCTCCTTTGGAAATTAAGCTTTCAGACCAATACATTAAAGAAAACAGAGGAACAAAACGAGAGATGTAGAATGTATAGAGTTAAAAAAAAAGTCAATTTAAAGTCTAGGATATTTAACACCACAAAACCACATAGTATAAGGTAAACATAATAAACGAATGCTGGGTTTAAGATCTAAAAAACAATTTGAGAGAGTCATAACAGAAACAGCACTTAACACATAATTACTCACAGCAGTCGCACTTAAAATACTGATTTCATTGCGTTGTTAAGCTACAGCAGGACTCATGAAGAAGTTTCATTTCTCAAGGAAACAATTAGCAAATTGTAGTCCTGAGAATTTCATGACCATTCAGACATGGTTACATAGGTCAGGTCTTATCAAAGAAAACACAACTGAAAACACCTCCAAAAGACTTAATTAGGAAACCAGTTTTTACCTTTTAAACCAATGTAACACAGTGTTGATAAAATATTTTAAATAATATCACATATTGCACTGTCAGTTTAAGAAAGCAGCATTCGAAAAGAAGACATTGTACTAAGACTGATCAATCACACTTGTTTGTCAACCTCTATGACAGATCCTCAGAAAATTACATTAAGTTGCAATTCGGCATTAAGGAAAGACAAAAAGCAGGAAATGAAGGAAAATCGTGAATTTGTATTGCAGAATAAGGATTTCTGCTGTTTCTTCCAGCACATCAAATCATGCAAAATTGTGTTAAACTTTCATTTCATTTTATTTCATAAAAATTGTCTGCTCATTTATTATTTGCTTACCTGTAGAGATAGATTAGCATGATGTGACTGAAGCAATCAGTAATATATATATATATTTTTACCAGGCATTATTGAGTATTGAATATGCATTTCGCTTAAGTTGATTTCGAATAACTTTAAAAAATGTACCTGTCCAATGATGACACTAAACTGAAAAACACTAAAAAACTAAAAAAAGAAAAAACTACATTCTTTATAATATCCTGTAACCTGGAAATCGCTTTGAAAATGTTCAGGGCATGAAGAATAATTTGAGGACAAAGGGACGCTTCTACATTCGCGGCATTCAAGTTTTACCATCGCCTCGGCCTTCAGCCCTGAACCTCACTCTCTGGAGCTGTAGTTTCAGTCTGCAGGACAGATGAACTCTGCTAGCTCTGCTTCAGCGTCTCTGATGCCCAGGTGGTTTAGCGTTTCCTCTCAGCACTTTATTTAGCAGAAATCAATTGGGTGTTGAAGCAGGAACTCACTAATGGTGAAAGAAAATTGAATTTTTGGTCCTTAACGTATCATCCATCACTATAATTTTTGGTTAAAGTGGGCTATGGCAAGAAGGTAAGAACATCGTGCCCATCTACCCCTTATTTCACATTTCAGGGGAGTGTAGAAAAACACATTGCCTAGTTCTGGCCACTGTGTTGTTTTTTTTTTGCCAAAGGAATGAGGAAACGCACAGGACACACCTGTGATAAACTGCTCGTGCTATATGGTTTTCTAACAGTGTCAGTGGAGCTGCACATCCCAGCTTTGATGCATCAAAGAAACTACACGACCAAGAACTGTTTAGTAACAAATGGCTGGATCTGTCTAAAATCAAACCATAAATCAACCCTAAATTGTGCCTTATCAAGTCAAGAGGTTTTCAAACCATACCAAAAAGTTAATTATGTGTCTTTTTATGTATTCTACAGTAGATTTGTACCTATGCCTTCTGCATGTCTATCAAGACATGGCGACTTTTGTATTAGGCTTTGAAGAAGTGAGAGAGAACTAATTGAGGTCAGTCAAAGCAACAGGCAGGCTAATTCTGCTCTGCTGCAGTAAATCAACAGAGGCATTAACTGCCTCCTGCCACATTACTCACAGTTACTGTACAAGCTGAGACACTAGGGCACTAAATCCTGGTACTGTTAGAGCCCAGATTACAGATGCTCTTGTTTAATGTGAACAAATTACAATCATTATGTCTTTACATGTACTGTATTTTTACACAATTAAATCATTCTGGAAATCTTTAATTCCTAAAACTGTTTTAAATACTAATTTTTAATCACCTTTTTCTATGCGAAAAAATGCCATGTTTAAGCAAAACTATGCTACCCTCCATACCCTCCTGCTATGTCTTTAAAGGAACTGTTATACAGGCCCAATAGTGTACTGTATTGTCCCATGAAATCTTTGTATACAAGCAGAAACACATTTTGACAACAATGCTAAAAAATGATTCTCCAAAACAATTCTGATGAACTAAAAAATGTTTAAAAATGAATTGATATGTGGGGGGATTTTATTAGCAATCAAATAAGATAAAAGTAAGATTTTCCAAATGGTCTCCTTGTTTGTGAACTGATGCTATACCGTCACATTTCAAAACATGCTTTTGAAAAGCAAAAACACATTCTTTTTCAAGTCCCCGCAGTACAGTAAGTTCATATGAACTGGAACGGAGAGGAGCTTTCTGTGAGAAAAATAAAGAGTTAAGAATTTTCCAACACAGTATATTAAGTGGCATGCACACGCGGGTCATACCTAAGCTGACTTAGAACAGCTCAGTTTAAACAAATTGAAAACCATAAGGATCTTTGTCATCAACTGCATCTAAGCTGGCTTATGTCTAAGACCCAATAGAAACAGAGTATCTGTTCTGCCTTTCCTAAAGGCTATACAGGCACAATACTACTGCATGTACAAAGAGTGTAAATAAACATCCTCAACCTGAATGGCAATACACTATAGCTTCAGTTCAACAGAAGAGTACACCCGATTACAAATACATATTTTATTTCACTGTATAAGGTTTGTACTTGCTTTGAGTAGAATATTTGCTTAATACCCCATACTCAACTCCGTGCTGTGCTATAAATAATGACAGCCACAAGGTGAAACTCACAGGAAAGCTAGAGAAGGTTGTCAGGCAGAGTATAAGCCTTCTAAAAATCCTTGGTAATGTGTTTGAAAATGGTCAAGCTGAAAGGCCACAAAATCATTTTTTTTTGTGTGAATTCCTCTTCCTTCACGACACATGTACATTAGGGACAAGTTAGCGCCAGGTATAAGCTTTGAAATGGCACCAAACTCAAACCAGTCCGTCTTGTACTTCAAGCTGTGAGGAAACC